AAACTTACCTATGTACTCTCTCTTTGAATCTCTTCATCTGTAAGACTGTAACCTAAGATAAAAGTAGCTAGCCAAACATCAGAGTAAAAAAAACGAAGGAAAGAAAAGAAAAGAAAAGAAAAGACCGCATGCAACTAAAAAAAATATTCACAATTTTCACAAATTTTTTTTTTGGTTGAGTTTTGTTGGCCATTATATGCCTATTCTTAAGACCATTTAATTTTCTGGGAGTGAGTGATAACTTGTAATGACTAACATAACAGTAGCAAAATGAAGGAATAAATCAAAAGGAATATCAATCATGTTATTTTAATTCTAAATGGCAAAACACAACAAAAATCAAGCAATTCAACAACAAACCAAGTCTAGTTCCAGAGTCGCCTACAAGAACACTTTTTTCTCTCCCACTCCGTTTAGTTAATTGCCAGATCCTGATCTAGCACAAAGGAAACAGGACAAACCAAAAATACCAACCTTAATACTTCCAGAGTTCCAACTTCTTGAACTCTTCATCTTATCATCAAAGTTTTTTCTGAAATCTCAATCAAGATACAAGGAAACCTATTAAAACGAATCGAATAAATCAGTAACAAATCAATAAAATAAAAACACAGACCCTATTCAATGAGGCAAACCCGGTTCGAATATCGAAGTAATTGAATTAACTTTTGGACAGTAGAATTTTGCATCCGTAGATCCTAGCAGCGAATAGTGTGTAGAAGTAGCGAAAGTTGCTAGGAGAAGAAAAGAGCGATCTTTTGAAGCTCAAAAGTGTGTGGAAATCGGGACGAGGAGACATTTTGCCTCCGCGCGCGGAAGCTATTCTCCATTTCTGCAAATTATGCATTTCATTTTTCCAGTCAAAAATCTGACAACGTGTATGTACTATATATTATTATATTATTATATATTATTCTTGGAAAGACAAATACAGGTGGGGGGTGTGATGCCATCTGCTTTTTCAAATTTGACTTTTACGGTAATTCCTATCTCACCCTTCACATGAATCAATGATAAAATATATTCACCTGTAAATTTGAGGGTAATTGTGGCAAATTAATCATTAGAAAGAGGGTATAATTGTCTTCCCAATTTTCAATTATATTTGGTTCTATATGTTGACGCAACCGGCCACTCCATCGTCC